TATTTTTCTGAATTTTCTTTTATTTTGATTTTAATTAAAATGAGATTAATTAATGTCAATGGATTTCCAATGGAAATAAGTTACTTTGTCTGACTTTTTTGGGGGGTTATCCTGGGTTTTCCCTATACTTTTAAACTGCTTTGTTGGATAATCTATATAACTGAATAGTGTATACCTGTATACACTGTATCTGAAAATTCTAATACAGGAGGGAAACGTTCGTTAACAATAAGGTGAACAGATTATAAATGGGTGAATGCTGGTTGTGTTTGTGTCAGGCCTCGTTACCTCTCTAACCCAGCCCCCCCCCCCCATTACTCCACCAGGTGGGAGTTAACAAGGGACCCTCCCAGTGAGTTTTAAATCACTTTATTTCTCCTCCCACCAAACCTGTAAGTATGTGATTCTACTCTTATGTATTTGTTATATTCTAAGTGTTGGAATTTTTATGTTAATATTTTCATTTTAATTAAATGTCACTCGCATGCTAGACCTTCTGCCTAGAATCTGAGTGACTGTATGTCCGGGTTTTTAACTAATGTGTTCTTTTTGTCTTTTAGCCTCGTGAACTCGGCTTACGTCGTCCGCGCATGCGAGACACGGCGGGCATGCCACGCCATAGCTCATCACAAAATTTGTACTCGCCAACTATCTTCTGGATGCCATATCCAAATTCCTAGTACACTACAGAGAATTGGAATTAACCCTCTGTTTTCTGTCACTGTAACCTTCAGCAACCTGCAGCCACCACCATCACATAGAGTACCTGAAACCAGCGTCTGAATTGCCTTTAAAACTATCAGTGAAATCCAAATCCAGTGATTACATCGCGAATCTTGCTAGCATACTAACTCCATCTGCACCCAGGAATTGTTTCTGTCCTTGTTTTGTGTATATACATGTACACATCTTAGATTGACTAAATTTATGTTCATTTTTAAATTTTCAAGTTGTTTCAGATAGATAATTTTCATGTTTAATTGTTTTATATTTAAGTTTTTTTTCATACTTCCTCTAATTGTAATTCTTTCCTGTTATTATTAATTTTTCTCTCTTCTCATAAGGAGGAAGTGTCCTTTCAAATACATTTTTGATGGTCTGAAACAACAGCTAAACCTTCACTCAACACTCCCCCTACACCTGCCAGTACACCTGCCATCACTGCTCCAACATCTCCTGGCACACCTGGCATCAGTGCTTCATTTGCCGATACCGACTCTGGTTTTTCTCCACCAGAGATTGGCGCAGTTAATAATCGGATGCCCGACACTGCACCTGAAAAAGTGCTAGGCCAAAGCACTAGCAGCAGTGATAGATGTGGTAGAGTTGGATGAGGTCGTGGAAGAGAAAGGGGTAACTACCCTTAACTGTGTCTGCTCTTACTAACATAATCCCAAGAAAACTCCCACCAAGTACATATTCGAAGTCTCAAAAGCAGCAGAACCTACAGAGAAATCAGCAGTGAAACACGAGAAGTGCAGGAAACAGATCACCCTCTGAAGCATCTAGGCAGTGTTCTGGCTGTCGCCGGAGGGGCTCACTACTAGCAACTGCCTGAGAGATATTAGGTGCAGTTACTGCCACAAAAGGGGACATCAAGAAGATTAGATCGTAACAAAAAGGAAACTTGACAGAGAGGATCACCAGTTCTCTCGAAGAAACCAGCATGATCTCATAACTGGTGAGCACATACGTCACCCGCCCAGCTACTCCTGTCTCTGTTCAGTAGGTGGTTTTGTGCCTTATACAGACCAAATAATTACACCCTAACTGCTGCCTTGTTGTCCTATCTGAATCAAGGGCAAGCATCTTACACACAATCAACTCAAGCTGAACGCAGTCAGAAGGAGGCAGTCTATCAGCATCTTAAATCTCAGCATTAGAGGCTGCATAGCCAACGGTGGCGCGCTCATGCTCATTTTCGTGATCACTGAAAGTCCAAACATAATCATCGCTGCTAGAATTATTGGCTACTCCTCTTTGATGAGAAGACAAGCAAGAACAAGATGGGACCATCTCTCATCACCTGGATATGACGTTCTTCAAGCTATGCATAAACAATACTATCTTTGAACTAGCGCGTGTAATGTACGTACCTCAGAAGAGACAATCAATCCCATCAACTTCCTGGTGAAAAATGAGAATTTCCTTCTGATCAAAATAAATAAAATTGTATTATATTTCTTGATGACATCAACCAACATCAACAGAGGGATTTTGATGACTTTCTTGCAGTGGTTGACATAAAAAAAAAAACTTCTTGACTTCCCTACTCACATCTCTGGCTCTTCTCTCGACCCAGTAGTGAGTGATCTATATGAATAAATAGTTGGTTGCCAACCCCATGGGCTATTTTGGATCATCTGATCACAAGGCTGTTTTTACGACACCGAGGATTCCATCAGAACTAGTTGTAGCTTCTAAACGCACAAGTGGCTGTGGAAAAGGGGAAAAACTGCCAGAAATTTGTCTGAGGTCGCTGCCTCCTAATGTTGAAAAGAAGTGAATAACTTCACTGAAACATGTCCAAATTTCTAACAAAAATACATTCCCTCCCCCGGCAGTAGGTTACGAAGCTTTCAGATCAGCCTTGTTTCGCTTTTTTGTCTAAAGGTTGATGCTGCAAAAAAAGTTACCAAGCCCATTGGAAAAAAATAAGAGATATACCACAGTCTATAACAGGAACCTCACAGGCAACTTGTTGGCAAATGGAAGAAAGTCCAAAAAAGGTAATTTTCGACATGGGAGGCTAAAACCAAAAGAAAAACTATCACCCAGTTACAGTACTCGAACAGCCCATTTCAAACATAGCCCTCAACACCGGAAGAATGTGGATGGAATTACTGTTATATACTGGGCCCAATATTCTCAAGGTACCATACATGTTCCACACCCGGAGACA